TCTTCTCTTCTCTTCTCTTCTCTTCTCTTCTCTTCTCTTCTCTTCTCTTCTCTTCTCTTCTCTTCTCTTCTCTTCTCTTCTCTTCTCTTCTCCTCTCTTCTCTTCTCTTCTCTTCTCTTCTCCTTTTTTTCGAGGCAGAGTCTGACTCTGTTGTGCCAGCTAGTGTGCAGTGGCCAGATCATAGCTCACTGCAACCTCAAAAACTCCTGAGCTCAAGCAATCCTCCCGCCTTAGCCTCCTGAGTAGCTGGGACTACAGGTGTGCGCCACCACACCCGGCTCAGTTTTCTATTTTTAGAATAGATGGATGGGGTCTTGCTCTTGCTCAGGCTGGTCTCAAACTCCTGACTTCAAGGGTTCCTCTCAGAGTGCTAGGATCGCAGGTGTGAGCCACTGCGTCCGGCCTCTAGGTCCTGTTTCTAAGCGCAGTCTCTCCTCCATTACTGATAAACTGGTTTGCAAAAATTTCGTTTGTGTTTTTAAATTGAAATTTGACAGGCACTAGATTAAAAAGTCATCAGTTCTCTTAGCCTTGTTACAAAAGGCACGAGACCTCTGGCTCCCCCATGTCCCACTCCTCAGGAACAGCTGTTGGAAACATTTTAAACTGATTATTTGGGTAGTCCTCTCTATCTCTGAAGAACAAGTCTGTTGCCACTGTCTGATTTTCCAGTTGTAGCAATTATTGATTTCTCATTGGTTTCAGCCGTGGCGGTGTCAGGGTTTCCGTCTACCAGAGCGCACAGGAAACCATCTGCAGAGTTGGTGCTTGTCTTGAGACTTGAGGCAAATCCACATTCTTCAAACATGGCGCTGGCTCTTTGTCTCACCCACTGGCATAGGAGTTCTTCCTGCTTTGATTTTCTACTTTGCTTGGAACTATCTAGTTCATTGCCTATTTTTCTTTATTTGGTCTTCTCCACAAAGTGGGCATATGTGGACAGGTATCTGATAGTAGAAACCATACCCAGGGGTGCCTCCTGTGCTCATTCTTGCTTTGACCTGTGCGCCCGCCTCTTTTTTTTGAGACAGAGTCTCGCTTTGTTGCCTGCGCTAGAGTATGTGGCATCAGCCTAGCTCACAGCAACCTCAAACTCCTGGGCTCAAGCGATCCTCCTGCTTCAGCCTCCCAAGTAGCTGGGACTACAGGCATGTGCCACCATGCCTGGCTAATTCTTTCTACATATTTTCAGTTGGCCAATTAATTTCTTCTATTTTAGTAGAAATGAGGGTCTCACTTTGCTCAGGCTGTTTCGAACTCCTGACCTTGAGCAATCCACCCTGCCCGCCTCCCAGAGAGCTAGGATTATAGGCACGAGCCACCAGGCCTGGCCTGAGCCTGTCTCTTTTTGACATGTCTTTGTGTTGACGTTATGCGCAGGTTTTAGAGTTTTTCCAGAGACTTCCTTGCCCTTATCCTAAGCATGGTTTACAAATGCCAATTCTTGATACTACCTGTGATCTGACCCATTACTATTGCACATCTGGCTGTGGACAGGAACTACCTCACTGGATACCTTTTTTGTTGGAGAAAAATTTGGCAAATATAAAAGATGCAAGCGTAGGTTCTTATGTCTTGCCAAGCAGCTATTTCCCCTGAAAGGTAAGTAGTGATAAGATGATTCCCTGGGCCCCTGACATCTATCGCTCATGACAGTTGTGCAGTCGCATTTAAAAAATATAGCTTATCACTCGTTTTATTGTACCTTAATGTGAAAATGTTGCCAGTGTTGAAGTAATTGGTAATTATGTGGTGTTTTTTTTTGTTGTTTTTCTCAAAAAGAGCTTTTTTTTTGGGAGAAGTCACTTGGAAAGAAGAATATTATCTTTACTGGAAAATATTTTTGATTACTGTTAAATATTTATGGAGTGTCTTTCTTTTTTTTTTTTTTTTAAAGTGGTGCCGCAAATCTTTGGAGTGTTGATGGAAGAAGTTACAGTAACTGAACAGAAGCCAGGAGAAGTTGCCGAAGAATCAGCAGCTCCTACGAAAGGAAGCTCATTGAGGTAAGGCCGGCAGGCCTCGTGAGTCCTTGTTCCGGATGTGGCTGCTCTGGGCGACTGGCAGGAAAAGGCCCAGCTCTTCAAAGCAAGATGTTAGGCAAAACAACCAAACACCCCCCACAAAACAAAGTGAGATAAAACCAGATACGTCATAAAGAAAAAACCTGATTCTTTGAAAAATATCCCTTAATTAGAAACTTCTGGCACGGTGGTAAGGAAATAACAGAGAAAACATAAAATATGTAACACTAAAAATAAGGAACAAATGTAACCCCAGATTTTGAGAATAAAACCAGGAGAGAGAGAGATATCATATGCAACTCTGTTAAATGTGTACATGTGGATGAGGTAGACTGTTTTCTAGGATAACGTTCATTGTAGAACGAACAAAGATGAGCCCGACTGCGGAGGGGCCAAAAAAGCAAACATAAAAAAAAAAAAAAAAAACAAATAAAAAAACCCACCACTGTGGAAGACAGGTGTAAATGTAATCAAAGAAACTGCTTCCTTAGAAGGTAGGTGCCTAGAGGGTTTATGGTGATTCCAGGAACCCTCAAGGTACTCACAGCAAGCCCTTTGCTGCTTATATTTCTTTAAAGCACACATATGTGTGTGTGTGTTATGTTCGGATTCACAAGGCCGCAGGACAGAGAGGCAGAGTCACCGAGGCTGTAATTATCAAAAGTTGTTTTATTGTCTACTCGAGCTAGGTCCGAGCCCAGAGTGCCAGCGAAGGCGCCCTCTTCTCCGGGCAGGGACCCTCCTTTGTGTGTTAGTCCCCTTTTTATAACTCAGTTGTTTACACACTGGTCATGCATCCGCCCCCACAGTGATTCTTACTTCATCCTGCCCCTGATAGGCTCTAACCTGTTCCGGGTCCTAGCTGCGAGACTCCGGTTTCCACGTTCTTTGTCTTTTTCCTCTGCATCCCATAATGTACTCATAATGCCTTGCGGTTAGCAAACAAGCAGTAAACAGAAGCTGGAAGGTGTCCATTGTCCTTATACCCCAGTATCTTACGTGTGTGTGTGTGTGTATACATATATATATGTATATATACACACACATACATGTATATATCTGTATCCTGGTTCAGTGTGCATTACCCTGATACAAAAAATTTGACAAAAATAGCGTAAAAAACAAAACTAGTCTAGTCTCATTTGTGCGTAAATGTATAAAAGTTCTAGAAAGATATTATCCAGTCAAATTCAGTCACATATTAAGAGAACCATGCACATAAAAAGTAAGGTTTATTTAGGATTACAAGGTTTAATGTTAGGAAATTTGTCCATATAAGTCATCTCATTAGTAGGTTAAAGGGAGAAAAACCAGATATTTATCTTTAGTCATTTTATTGTGTTCATTATTGATATCAGATAAAAATATTCTTGATAATTGAGGAATAAAGGTACTTCCTTGATAGGATAAAGAGTTTATTCAGAAACCATTAATATCACCATATTCAGTGGCGAAGCTGAGAGGCTGTTTTTGACCAGGTGTGTGTGCATGTTGTGGTGGTCCCTTGGGTTGTATTGTCAGTCATGTCTGTGTGTACACACATACACATGTAAGTATACAGTATGCTTCCAGTACTGTCTAAACCTATGACAGTAAGTTTTATTTTTGTAATTAGAAACACACCCACTCATTATGGAGACATACCTGAGCTGGGGGTGGGTTTCACAGGCCCGGGGCCTTGGGCGAGGACCCTCTTACCTTATTCTTGGTTCAGGCTGCCATTCTTATGGTCTATTTGGTTCCTAAATTCACTCTGAAGAAGGGAGGTGACTTTAGAAGCAACTTGCATTCTGATTCAAGTGAGCTCAAGGGACAGCAAGCTGGGGTTTTAACAAAACAGGCTGGTGGGGAAGAGTCAAAAACCAGGCTGGGAGGGCCTGGGGCGACTGTCTCTTCCTGCACGGCCTCCACCCACCACAGTGTCCTTCCTTGGAGACTCACTCGTGAGCTCGTCGACTCAGAGTTGGCTGGTGGCAGTGCCAGGGTGCTGGGCCATCGGTCTGTGCCCGGAGGGCCCAGGTGGAGAGGGAACAGTGCCCCAATCTCAGTGTCGTGATAAATTCTATGTTTGTTTCCCCAAGTGGACTCTGAGTCCATGGAAGGCAGGAC